TTAATATGAATCTGGTTTTTAAAGAGGATGTATAAGATGTTGATACCTGACATTTACAATATTGCCATATCCAAATCTTCCTCTCCAATGAAGCTTCTAGAATTATTGGCATTGTTGAAGGTGCAGATATTCCAATAGCCTTGCTATTGTATATACTTAAATATTAAGGAAAACAGGTTAATGAGCATGGTCAGGTAGTGCATTTCAAACTTGTACAAATCCAAATTTTTCTAAATATAGTTGAAAGCACTGATAAACTCTTAAGATGATGTGCTGTGCCTAGAAGGTTTGCTGTTTGAGGTGGGAGAGAACCTGCTGTTTTGGTATCCGAGTACAGGAAGCATTTTTAAGTGGTACAGTCTCATATTTGCAGAAACCTAGAATGACTGAATGGATTTTAAAAAATTGAAATCTGGAGAAGGCTAAAATATTGGAAACTTTAGTTCAAAGAGCAACACTTCCTGTAAGAGATATTCAAAATGATTGTTCACCCAAAGAAAGTTTGTAATTGCAAAACCACTTGAATTTAGGGCTGGTGCATCATTTTGGCCCCGTATCTGCAGGCAGTCCATCCTGCAGGCTTCTTACTGACTCTGTTAATGACATATATGGAATTGGACCTAAATGAAAGTAGTATCATTTTCTAGTAATACTATGCAACTGGTAAGACTGACTGACGTTTAACAGGATTGTTGTTGCTTATGTTTTGTTTGCAGAATACAGCAACTGTTTGAAGAAATATTAGGCAATAGCAGGCAACTGAAATGGCTGTCTTGTGGGTTTATGCTGCAAATAGCAACTCCCACGTCTCTGTCCTCTTTATCAAACCCCATTGCCAACACCATGGAACATCTGAGTTTACTGGACAACCACATCCCTGGAAATACCACTCTTATCACTGCAGTTGAATTGGAGCGCTTTGTGAATCTACGCTCGCTCGCCTTGGATTTCTGTGATTTTACAGCTGAAATGGCAAGAGTCTTGGCTGATAGCAACCATGTGCCTTTGCATCGACTGTCTCTTCTGGTCCACAATGTTTCCATAATGCACAAGTCCTTGGACAACATGCCAGAAGATGAGAATTGGAAGGCACTGACACGCAATAGCACTAATCTCCGGGTCTACATAATGGCATTTGATGTCAAGAGTGATGATATGCTAAGGATTCTTAAGCCTAGTATCCCATTAGAGCGGATTCACTTTGACAGCTACATCACTTGTGTTTCAGGGGCTGTTGTTGACCTCATATCCAGGCAGTACGACAAGTTCCTCACTCACTTTATACTAATGAATGATGTGATTGATATGTCTGGCTTCCCTGATCTTAGTGACAACCGGAACGAAGACCCTCTGGTTTTATTAGCATGGAGGTGCACAAGGCTCTCTCTCCTAGCAGTACATGGTAGGTAATTCTGTGGATAAACACAGTACATTTCTTTTTCCTTTTTATAATACTACTTAGCCTTTTCTAATCAAATTGTATTTATAAATGAATACTTATTACTGCCCCCAAATTCCTGCAGCATGTTGTAAAGCACAGCTTGTGTCATACAGATATTGAAAACATATTCTCATCTTCAAACATAGAAGCATAAATATCCTAATTTATGTTAATTCTTCCTAACAAATTGAATGCAACTAAACTTACTCGTTGTAAACAATTGTGACTATTTTCCTTTAAGATTTTACTAGGGTGTTTATGTAGATCAGGATGAGTTAAAGATTTATTGTTATCGAAGTATGTGGCATCTACAGTTGCATGGTCTAAAGGCTTATTTTGAAAGTGGGGAGGTACTTTCTTTGTTGTCTGAGTTATTTATTTGATTTATATGCTGCCCATGGCAACTCCAGCTCAGAGTAGATAGATCTACATTGTGTTTGAAAAACCTGATATTTGGAGGTATTTATTGCTTATCACACACAATTTCCTGATTGTAAATCTGTATGGACAACAGCAAAACTAGGCTCAGAAGAGATGTCACTAATCTTGTAAGGATCTACCAGCAGTTACCAGACTGAAGCATTAGTGAACAAAGACCAAGTCTCCATTAGCTTAATGTAACTGGGTTGTCTAGATGGTACGTCTGGCTGACTCCAGCTGAAAGCCATGCTGGCGAAAACTTGGGTATGAAAACAATATTATTCAAGAGCTTTGTCATCTTAGCTTCTGTTGTTTGTGGAGGTGATGTATACCTACACCAGTGGAAGACTTCCAGTTCAGCTATTCTGGCATAGCTACAGTGGCAGAGGCTGCATGGTACAGATGAGATGAAGGAACATTCCCCAACATTCAAGTGTAATGTGCGGGGTGGAGTAATGTAAAGTGTACTTGTGTGACTGGAATGGACCAAGATGTTTGTGCCTTGTTGAGTGCCATCAAGCACTATTCATATTGGTCTAGTCACTGGCTGTTGTTACAGCTAGCATCGAATTAATATGTGCAAAGGTCTGAAGAGAAATTAACTGGATAGTCGTCACCTTCATTGAACAGGTTTGTCTCCTCCAGGTCATGTTAAATTAATGTTAAGGGTTTCCTAAAATTGCTAATGTGTAACTCATGGTATAACATGACTGCATGTGCTTTATGAAGACCAGTCAGTCTAGTCTACTGCGCTAGAGTTACGGTTACTTTGGGTAGAGATGGTAAGCTTTATTTGAGCATAGCACAACTCTTGGAATTCCGTCATTTTCTTAGGTGATAACTGGCCAAGCAGACATTTGTGAATGCCCTTGACTGAAAAATGCTTTCATTCAGGCTTCCATGGGAAGCTCCAGGAGTGGTATGTGAAAGGGTCAAACTCTCATTCCCTCTCTTTCATCAGGCATCTTCTAGTTCAGCCTCAAATCTCTTCTCCCCTTTCCAATAAGATACTGTACGAAACACCCCATCAACATCGTTGAAGAGTAAACCACAAAGCTAAATTCTACATCTTGGAAAGGGGTCCTGCAGGAAATAACTATTTTTTCTCTCTCTCTCCTTTTAAAAGGTTACACTGTGTGGGCTCATAACCTCATTGCAATCGCTCGTCTTCGTGGCTCTGATTTGAAAGTTTTAGAAGTCACGGAAGAAAGCATTGACTTCGACCAAGGTGAACTAGCTGATCAGGACGTGGATCCAGTACATAACCTCATTGAGCAGGTATCCCTTGGATTGGGTCGACCTTGGCATGCAGTCATGGACATAGAATTACTCAGTGTCTTCACTGAGCCAACTCGTCATTTTTATAGAGAGATGCAAAGCTTCAGTGAAGGCATTTAGCTCTTTTTTTTTTATTTACAGTTCCTGTGGTTACATATGCAAGTAGGGTCCTATTATGTTTTTCAGTAGTGTGAATTAACCCCTTTTGTGCTGTGTTTAATCAGTATTAGCTATATAGAATTATATATGTGTATTCTACTTCTTGATCAAAGAACGTAGTCGGGTATTGGTTTAGAAGCTGAAAGTGGCAATGTTTAGGGCTTTCACGGTTAATGGACTTGTCGACCAAACCTTAGAGATACAGCCGAAAGTTGTCTGAGGTTGCCGGCTAACTTTTTTATTTTCCCTTTCTCTTTTTGACTAAACTCTGCATCTTGAATTATTTTACTCTTAGGTCAGAGTTCTGTGCTCAGGAGCAAATTCTTCTTAATGTCCATATCCATAGCCTGGTGGATTTTTTGTGTAATTGTTGTCGCATAAGCTGGTAGCATGCTACTTCATGGGCTTAAGAAAAAAACAGGAAAAGAAGACTTCCCAATGCCAGTTCATGGTAGACTTTCACTTTCATTTCACATGCGGTTTTTGAAGCATGAATTACTCCCACTCCCTTTTTCTCAGATATTACGCAGTAGCCTACAGCACTGTGTAGCTTTTCATAAACACCTGAATTTGTAGACTCAGGCTATAAATTGTAGGATTTCTGATCCTTTGTAAACTCATTGTAGGTTATTCTCATGGTCTGTCAGCTTCTCCATACAAGTTAGCTTTGGGCCCAGATTTCAACAGAAAATGAACATATGCTCCATTGGGGTAAAAACCATAGCAATGAAGACACATTTCAATGTACATGCTTGCAAACAAACATTAGTCGTGAAATCCCTAGCAACTAAGTCACTGGATTTTCTCTGTCAGCGCCTGTGTCAGCTGCCAAAGAATAGATTAAAAACGAAGAAGTGCCCACATGCTGGCAGGGGCAGGTCAACTCTTGGCCAGCCAGATACTGCTAGATTGTAATATATAAGGTCGAATTTCGACCTGTGGTACACAGCTGTGCTGTGGCTCAGTCAGCAACCTCAGAACTCTTAAACAAACATGCACCTGTTTCACTGTGAATAGTGAATGTAAAGGAAGGAAAGGAAAGCAAATACAAAGCTTGTTCTATCACAGGTATGAGCTGCTATGATGCATGAAGAACATTCCATGAAGTATGTTTTAAAATCTTGTTATATCTGAGAGGCTTTAAAAGCCGATTAACTGTTTCAGGGCAACCGCGGTACAGACGTGGTCTCTGTGAGACTTCCACCTGACCCCAGTTTTAAGTGGTACGAATGTTGTGCATTTAATGTTAAAGGACAGTCTGCAATAATAAAGTAAGTGGCCAACGTGGGTGCCCAGCAGTGCTGAGACCTGGCTGCTCTATTGTAAGCTTTGGAAAACACAATTTATGCAACAGATGTCCAGATATGATTCTATTTATGGAAAAAGTTTATATGTGTTTTACAAATGGTTTTACCATCTTATATTAAAATGACCTTTTGACAGGTGTGCGCTGTTTTGTCTCCAGTGAGCACATACCATGCGGATTTTATATGTACATCAGTAGAGTGAATCCACTGGCACAGTGTGTGTATATGCCAGATGTGGTGAGATTTTATCTTATAAATGTGATCAGATTAAAAAAAAAAAACTCCTGACAGAAAGTGTAAGGAAACCAGCTGAATGCTTGAATTGATGACTGATGTTGTATGGTTTATGTTAAATGTATATTCTTTTAATCAACGAATAAAGCATTAAAAATTGATCATTGTAAAATATTTTATTGTATCAGCATGAGGATTTTTTAGTATTGAATAAACTGCAGCAATCGTTCATAAACTGTAAAATTGTTAGTATCCATTGTATTTAGGTGCAACAAAGCTTAAAGTCGAAGTCATATGGTATTCTTCTCCCTTCGCCCTCCCCCTTTCACTGACACTTATCTGCATTTTAGAAGAATGAAGTGCTCAGCAAAAGATTAGGCCAGCTAGCACAAACCTGGTATTACATGTTTGAGATGACTTATTAGACTGATGCAGTAAATTATAGACTGTAGAATATAGGAGACCGATTTTGAGAAATTCCTACACCAGTTGCAACTGCTTAAATTAAAATCTAATATGCTCTAGAAAAATGTGTAGTAGTCTCTTCAGTGTCCCACTATTAAATAGATTCTGAATATCCGCAATGCTTCAGTTTGACATTTATCTATTTTAATAAAACCCTTCATTTAAATATTCTGGATGGAAACTGCAGATGGTTGGTAAACTGACAGCTTCCCCACCATGCCAGTGGCTGGTTGTGCCACAACTGGCAGCATGGCTGGAAGTGGGGAGAGTGAGAGCATGCATGTGCGCCAAATATTGGTTATGATTATTCAGGATGTTTACTGTTATGGTTTCTCCTGAATTTCTTTGCCAAGTCTACAAACTAATAACAACCTCCCTCCAAAAAGGAAAGTTGCTCTTGCTGATGATAGTGACAGGACTGTATAGTTTTTGTTTTGTTAAAGGCAACAGGAGCAAGTGTCACTAGGACTTTGTCTCTGGGCACTAGGACTTGGGGATTCCAGTTCTTAGTTTACACTATAGCTGGTTTAGCAGCTGCCTGGGACTAGGGATGCTACAATTCTTGGAAGGCCTAATAATGCTAAGAGGTAATTTAAGGTGTCTAGCCATCTGGGTTGAAGCCAAGCTCATGAAACTTTAGTAATAATGCTGTCACTTTAAAACATAACATTGATTGTCCAGGACTAGAGGCAGTTCCAGCTGTCTGATGGTTGGTTAATATTAACAACATGGTATTTAATGTTAACTAGCTATTCATCCTCTTTCTCTACAAGAATACTAGAGTGATATTCAGTATCAGACACATTCTTTTATAGTGGTATACCTGGTTTCAGTTGCCTAAGTTGTTTTTTAAACTGATTTCCACATCATGAGGGTGAGACTGGAGTAGCTGAATACTTTCTCAACTCCACTTAAAGATGCATGTCCTTTCACACACATGGCTTAAATATTTGATCTTAAAGTAACTTTAGAACAAAGTGATCTAAATGGATATCTGATATAGTGTGTAAAGAAGCTTTGCAACTTGTACATGTTCAGAGTTGAACAGGATATTTGCTAGACAACAGAAGCTGATGAACCACTAGCTCAAACTGCTGTAGCAGATGCTTGACTTGACAAACTTTTTCCAGTTGACAGAAGACACTATGTAGGAATAACTGCATTATATAAATATGTCATTGTTTGAGAAATCAGCGTTTAGCTATTCTACTTTCCTTGGGATATGGACAAATAGTTACCCACTTATAAAGTTAGGACTTAAGCATATCAAACTATTCTGTTATAGGTGTTTTGGTCTGACCCCCTCTGTGGTAACTGGAAGTTACCAAAATTGCATTGAGATAAACTACCCTAGTTTAGCTTTCACTTACTGTGGAATAGAGCTGATGATGTATGGGGTGGGTAGTACCTGCCTTTTTAATTGGTGCGGCTGATTTTTTTTTTTTGACTGCAATTTTTAATGAATAATATTAAAAGAATATATGAGGCTGTAGTTTTAAGACACTAACTTAGAAAACTGTACTACATACAGTTTAGATTAAAACTTACAAGTTAATCTGTCAATGGCAGGTTTTTAAATTGCTACTTGTAAATTGAATCTGAATGTTATAAAATTGTTGGCAACAGTCCCTTGTCCTCTACACATTTAAAGCTAAAGTTATGTACTTGCTTAATCTTGTGTGCAAAATTTGGCAGCATCAAAGCTAGCACTAAATTGCATCTTATAGCAAGGTGCTGTCACTTTTTAAACCACAGGACTTCACTATTAATGTGAAACACTGAAAAATTACGAGTTACCCTCCTATTGGTATAAGAGCAACATTTTTTGTGGTATCTTTTATACGGTTGCTCCAAGAGTCAAATGAGTTGTTGAACAAGTGTTTGGACATCACATTCCCTTCCTCAAGTCTAAGATGCAGATGTGGGCTGAATTAAATAGCAGACAACTCTGTAAATGCAAACCAGCACTTGCATTAGCCACTGCCATGAGCTGCTCATCCCCTGCATTGTTTTCCTCCTGTTCCAATCCAATCCCATCCCTGCTCTGTGCCCCCTTTCACTTAGTGGACATCACTGAAAGCCACTGCAAATACTAAATACTAATAGGAAGCAGTCTATTCAGTGGTAAGGGCAAAGAGTAGGAGACTTTAAAGTGACCACATGCCCTCCCTCCCCTATAAACTATTTAACACCCCCTCCCCACAACGAGCAATCCAAGTGCTTTGTCTGCCATGGATTTCTGATCCCTGCTCTAGACGGTTTTTTGCATAAATGAGAAGCATGAAAGTTCTTAAGCTCTGTTTTTCTACTTCAAAAAAAAAAAAAGGCAAAATACTTATTTTCCTGGACATGGTGGCAGGCACTGCAAGGGGGAGGGGAACTCCTTTAACCAGATGATATATTGACCGCAGCTTCAGTTGAGCCTTCCCCTGACAACGTTAATGTTTTGGGCAGTTTGTAACTGCTCTTCCTGCTTCTCATGCACTTGCCATTAGTGTCTGGAATCTGAATGCTGCTGGTGGAAACTAAAGCAAATGGCATGAAAAGCAGGACTTGTTCAGCTAATTCAAGCAATCAAGTAGCTCAAGTTTTAATATTTAGAAAAGAAGTGCTTCCTTCCCAACTTGGCCTGTAGGTTCTTACCCACTCCTATTCAGAAGCAAGAACAAAACAACTACTAATTTTGTCTCAAATCATATCATAATTGTGACAAGATGGACATCCCAATTTGTGTTTCTGCAGTAAAATAAACCAATAAAAATTCTACCCTGGCTCATTGTAGCTACAGGCTTCATCCTACTGGTTTCTTTTGTGTATGTTTTATTTGCGAAATGCTACACAAGATACGGCTTTCTGTAAACTGAATGCTATAGATGGATGTAGGTGCCAGCTTTGGCCATTTTCAAGGGGACTAGGTGAAGCTACAGAAACATGGCTAAAAGCAGAAGGCCCCCAAGCTGGTTTCTGAGCAACTGCAGAGTGAATCCCTTTACAGACATTACAATCGGGAATAAGATCATTATAAAACAGATAATTCAAATATAGTATATTGCAGTTTTAGCTTCAAGATATTATTCGCAATGATCACTCTGCAACCAAATGTCTTAGATGTAGTTTTATTATAGTAGATAGTTGTGTTGTCTTAAATAAGCATGGGCAGTGAAGACCATCAACTATGGTGAAAAAAAAGTTGCAACTTTCCATGGCACCAGTCTACATGCCACCCTCCTCTGCACAGTCTCCCCAGCCAGAATTACTAAGAATTGCTATTGTGCTCTTACAGGTAGTCCAATAAACATTAGGATAAGGGTTTATTATTTGTGTTTTGGGCTGGGCTGTAAGCAATAACAAAATGGGGCTGTAGCCTTGGCCCTTGCCTCTTATCAGTAGCCAAGTATATCAGTTTACCTGTGACTCAGGTAGTAAAGTTCAGTCAATTTTGACTAAACTCCCACATCTACCACATGTTTTGCTTCTAGCCCAAGTCAGTTATGTTCCTTGAGTCTTAGCCAGGAGCACAGAATCATGTTCCTCCTAAGCTTTCATTTACAAGACTTTGGACTTCTGTTACACAGAAAGGCCTGAAAATAAGACACTTGCGTACAGTTCATCTTATCTTGTTTGATATTTCTGCTAATCTTCACACAACACTCCCCCAATTGCTGATTATAGCTCCTTTGTATGCCACAAGCCCCAGCCCCAAATACAAACCCTCAGTCTTCACTGCTGCCACCACCCCCTAGTGTATTTAGATTTTGTCACCACAAAAAATCTTTGATAATTTTCAGAATGTCATGTGGGACAATCTAAGATGAATTAAGATCAGTGCAATTCTATTTCATTGATATTTATTTGATTTAATCATAAACCCTTCACTTTACAAACACAAGCAAAGCTGCCACAGAATTCCAGTTCAAGCTGCCTGTTAGATGGGGCCTCATCTTCACGTTTGTAACGCTGCTTCTTAAGACACCCATGTGAACCTCATTGTTGCCTTTCTGCTCTACGTACACTGTCAAAGATCACGCGTAATACAAGAGGAAATTAACGCATTCTGATATGGCACTGTAAGCAACCCATTCAGATGTTTCCAGATTTGAAAATTATGATAGATACCACCTTTCAGAGCAACCCCAGTAACCAGGATGGGGAGATAAATGGATTAAGCTTGAAGCAGAGAACAGGGTAAGTCTCTCTTTTCCACTATCCAATCAGTTCATTCTTCCTCTCGACTACTTGTTTTATTTCTTCCCTTAACGGAAAAAAATCAGATTCTGTACCTGATTATAGTTAAGTTAAAGAATATTTCTACTTGTCTTTGGCTAGTGTTGTACTGTAAACTAAAAAATAAATAATCTGAACTAAATAGCTTTCAGCGACATACATTAAGATACAATCACAAACATTAACACTTCACTGGTTGTAAATTCCAACTGGATCAATGTTCTGGAGATGGCAGAGAAAGACAACACTACACATGGAAATTTTGCTTCATGCTTTCAGACAAGTTAAAATAAACATTTAAATGAAGAAAATGACTAAGTTATTTTCACATTTGCCTTCTTCCTGCAATAAGTACCACTTCTGGCATGCAAAGATTGCCTGTGCAGCTAAACTTGGACAGAGAGTAGGTAGACTGTAAGTGTTACTCTATTTGATTACAATTTTACATCCTCTGAACAGGTTACTCAAATTAAAAACAATATTTAATTTAAAAATGACTACTGTACAACAGAAATCATTTATTCACAGTATTCATAGTTAATTCATCCTTATTTACAAAATACTATCCTGAGAATTATTCTATCAAGCTTAGATTTGCACAAAGTATTTCATTTATAATTCCTTAATGTAACACAAGTTACTTAACTGAAATTGAGAAGAAAAAATTTAAAATGTACAGGAACAGTACAGCAAAGGGAATTTCTGAGACACAAACGCTGTCAAGTTTCTTGTTGTGGTTCTGGATGTTCTGTAGCTGGTGCATTTAATTGATGAGTTAAGCCAGAAGTCAGCTCATTTCTATTTTCAAGTGGAAGAGATGGAGGTGAAAAAAATCCGGCTCTCTGTGGTGGGTATTGAGAAAAAGGCCTTGGTAGAAATGGACTTCTCACTGTTTAAAGATTTATGAAGTGCTGTTTAGCTAGTAACATTGTCTTCAACACAGGAAAAATACACCCAGCAGACCTAATAGTGGTGGAGATCCTTTACCCTATCCCAATCAGCAATTCTTAGCAGTGACACTACTTTAGACACAGGCTACTATTAAGCTGTAACAAAGACACCACCAGAAAAATTTAGGCTTGCACTAGTTGTTAAATTTCTGATTGCTACCTCTCAGGTTTCTAGGGGGAGGGGAGAACAAAAACAGTGAAACCACTCAATGGTAGCCTGTTAAAGCTGTTGACATGTTAAATTAAAAGGCATGATAGGATCTGCTGCACAATCCCAACAATCGTGCCTCCTACTATGCCACACATGCGGGGCAGGAAGTGCGATTTTGGGATCAGATCCCAATCGTGCCATACTGCTTGTGTAGGAGGAGTCCAGAATTGGGAAGACAGGTTCCTCTGCATTGGCAAGTACCAAGCTCAGCTCCCCTGCACTCCCACAGCATGAGCCCTTGTCACAGCCAAGGGCTCTAATGTGCTCCTGAGGCTGGGAGCCCTGATCAAGGGAAAGGGGCATAGAGGGGGCAGATCAAGGCCTCCGTGGCTGGGGCAGGGGCTGCCCAGGCAGGGCGGAGCACAGCAGGGCAGCAGACAGAGCCATGGGCAGCTCATCGGGGGGGGGGGGGGGGGGGGGGGCAGCTTTCACTGCTGCACGCACCCCCAGGAGAGACATGGGGGACATGTGCTCCCCAGATTTGTGCACAGGGCAGGCTGCCTGTGTGGACCAGGGGCCACCGGCTGTACAAGCCTCTTCCCGGGGGGGGAACGACAACACACGGACAAGGCCAGGGGCTGTAACAAATTTTGAGGGGGGCATCCCCCATAGCCACCCTCCCAGTGCTGCCACCGCCTGCCCAGCCCCTTCCTGCTGGAAAGAGGCCAGCAAAGTCCCTTCTTCCTGAGCCTGTAGTAAGCAGCTCACCCTCACCCTGTGCACAAATCCAGGGGTGCGTGCAGCAGTGGGAGCCCCTCATCCCTGGACAAGCCACCCAAAGCTCCATCCCACGCCCCGCCCTACTCCAGCCCCACTCCCTCCCACACCGCAGTGGCCTCTGCACCCCCCCCATGCCCGTTCACACCCCACCCCCAACAGACTTGCTGGCCAGATGCTGGTCTCCAATTTGCCAGGCTGCATATCGGCAGTTGGATCAGTATCAGCCAATATGGCTGGTTAATAATTGGCCATCGGTATTGGCCAAAAAAATCTTTATTGGTGCACCCCTACTTAAAAGACTTAACCAGTTAATCACATCTTAAGTGTAGCATGCATCAGGGGCCTAAGTATTTCAATGAAGGAAGGCTAATGTAACTGTGCATACACCACCGTCATCTCAAAGTAGCATGTGCTTGAGAGCCAACACCTCCAGTGGTAGAGGTTTGTGATCCTGAAATAAACACTGAGATTTTACCCACTGGGGCTCTTTGTGAGGTATAAGTGATGATGTCTGCTTGCAAACATTAATGTGTTATCGTATACGACTTCAGCATTTTATATGAAAAGATCCATACAAGACCTTTTATAAAACAGATTAAATGGGTGTTTAACCATGTTCACTGATGGACATTAATTAAAACGTAACTTAAAACCTAAGCCAACAAGCCCTTGGAGTCTTATGAAATATCTCACTTGTCATATGTGATAAGTGAATCCTCCTCTTCTCATTAGAAGTTACACTGCACTAATCTTTGGTACTATTCTCTTGTCCCTCTGACCTAGCCACATTGAAAGGTCTGCCCAACATCTGACAGTTTTAAGTTGCACCAGTACATTTGATACTGGTGACCCTAGGGTTGTATTGCCTCTTATGAAACCTGGCTTGAAATAAATGGAATCACTTGGGCATCCAGAGATGGCATCTTGAGCACAGACGTTTCTGTCATAAGAGCTGGTTGTGCCAGTTCTACAGCTGTTGGGGTGCAGGACTCCACTACAGAATGTGGCCTGTTCTCATAACAGATTGACAAAGAACAAGCAATTTTACAATTACACATGCATTGTGCAAATGCAGTGGGATGTGCTTAGGATGAAGCTTTGACCTTGATAGTATTTTCTATCAAACACCAGGTATTGTAACTCAGCCCCTTCACGCTATTTTGATTTTTTAAGAGGAACAGGTGTATTCAGACAAGCAAGATCATACTGAAGGAGGACTGAAATTACTCCATCACATCTCAGAAAAAATTATACAAAGGTAGGACAGTAATTTTAGTGATCTTAAAAATTAGCTGAAAATAACTACTAACAAAGTGACATACTTGCCAATGGAGGCCGAGGTAGACCAGCAAAATCCCTCATTGGAAAATATTCACGTGGTCCATACATGCCACCAGGAGGTGGAGGAGGAGGGGGGAAGGGAGGTCCTCGTCTTATAAAAGGCCCTCTAGGATCCACTGGTATCAGAGGAGCTCTGATTTGAGGGATGGGTGGGGCAGCAAACCCTGATCCAGCTGCTTCACTTTCAGATGCAAGCGACTGATTAGACACATTTAGTAAATTCTACAGAAAACAGAAACTGGTAAATTAGTTTTGTGAAAGAACAAAAAGTCCTCTGTACATTGAGGTCCACACTCACAAGGGGGAGATCCAAGTACACATCATGACTGAGTTAGGCGCTCCAGATTCTATACCTGGCTCTGCTAAGGAGGAAAACAGTCAAAGAAATAAAAGCAGGAACTATCCAAACACATCAAGTCACCTTGCTCACTGCCCATGTACATTGTATCCCTTTTCCCGAATCCTTTGGGTTGAGTTTTTCAGGGGGTAAATTTAATAGAGACAGAGAATGTCTTGGCTTACTTATTTCAATACAGGCAGTCCTTGACTTACGTTTCACACTTACAATGTTTATAAATTGACACCCTGTTTCAACTTTGATGTCAGTTTCAATTTTACAACACTTGATCCAACGCCATGCCACACCAGCGAACAAGTTTGCTGTGTTGCCCATCTCCCTGGAGAACATCTGTCCAAACTTCCTTGGACACTTTCTTTAAGAAACCAGACAAGACTGCAGCCAAGACTCCTGAGAAGACTAAAGCCAAGAACCCTTCAAAGAGTCCAACTAGGAGCCCTTCAAAAAGTCCAGCAAAGTCACCTCAAAGAAACCCTTCCAAATCAATATGATTGCTATTTAAAATATACATACATTAATGTAGCTATGTTACTCATCTATAATTGACCGAGTACAAAATTCTAGGTTATTTTTGGTGAAAATAGGGTATCAAGCCTTGGTTGAGGAACCAACCAATCCCCCATTTATAACACTATTTCCTATGGGAAAATCAGTTCCAAGTTACGTTTCAGCTTAAGACGCAGTTTTCAGGAGCCAATTGTGTTGCAAGTCCGAGGACTGCCTGTACATATGTTGTGGACACTATCAGTCTATACACAACAGCTTACTAAAACAGCCAGACTTTGGAAAACACAACATTAACTACAAATTACAACAGCTCATCAAACTGTACATACACAGAAAAACTTACCTTAAAATATGTTAAAGAACAAACGTGCTTAGAAATCTCTTCTCGCAAGGAAAGGGATCAGTGAAAATAAGTTTTCTAAATCTTTTTGATCTGCTACTTACACTCAGGTTGGGATGATCTTTTGTTCCATTTCCACTTGACTCCATTCTTGAACTGTTTTCAGAAGATGCCTGCCCATCTGTACAGCAAATGAACAAGTAAATCAGCACTGGGTTTTTCTGCTATATTTTTGCTGCATGAGAGAAAAAAAAACCTTACTGCAAATACATTTTTAAAAAATAGGAAATTGTCTAATGATGTACACCACTGTATCTGACATCTTGTCTGGTAACTGGTCTGGTCTATGTTTCATGAAGCTGCCATAAATCATTACAGATAACACAAATAATGGATGGAATTCCTTCTCCAGAATGGTTATGACCCCTGCTGCACTTTAAATTCTGTATGGCCAAGCAAGTCTTTACTCTCCTGATCAGTGGTTGTCAACTGGGGGTACGTGTACCCCTAGGGGCACTTAAAAAGGTAATGGGGGGCTCCCGCTGCTGCATGTACCCTGGCAGAGGCCTGGGGAGCATGTCTGTTCCCCCAAATCTCTGTGTGGGGCTGAGGCGGCTGCCACTGTATTCTGGGCTTTGTGCACCGCTGCAGCAGCTCTGGGAGCAGTGCGACACCATGTGCCTGCTGTCACCAGGTTGTGCTGTGCCCCCTGCCCGCCTGGCAGTGGGACACATGTGGCGTCACACCACTCCTAGGGCAGCTGCAGTGGCATGCAAAGCGCAGTGTGCAGTGGCAGCCACCTCCATCCCACACACTGATCAGGAGGGCACATGCCCCCTGGACCTCCCCCAGGGACCGTGCAGTGGCGAGAGCTGCCCCCACAACCCTGGACAAACTGCCCAGGCTCCGATTGTCCCATGACCTGCCCAGCCAGGGCCCCATTCACCCCAGCCGCTGCCCCTGTCTGAGCTCCACTCCCTCCCTCACCATAGGGGCCTTGATCTGCACCCCCATGGCCCTTTCCCTTCCCCAACAGATTTACCTGCTGGGGTATGGGGGGGTGCGCATGCATGTGCTCAACCCCCCTCCCCCCATAATTTTAATATAAAGGAGTACATGAGCTGAAACTGAGACAGAAGGGGTACACTTGTTAAAAAAGGTTGAAAACCTCTGCTCCTGATTTTGCTGTTTCTGTTCCTATCTTCCTAGGAACACATTTAGTACAGACCATCTAACCCACTAAGCTTTGCTGTGGTCTGTCCTACTTCAGGGTGAAGACCTCCTTCAAAGATGGCTGCTGTAACAGACATGGCTGTCAACAATTTCAGAAACAACCACAGAGACAGACAGTGTCCCTCTTTTGGATCAAATCCTGGGTCAGGGTTAAGGAAGAGTAGTACAACTTTCCCCATACTCTCTTCGTGTTACTTGTACTGTATCTGTTTTTCAAATGCAGAGATACATTTGATCTCCAGTCTGAAACTGGCACTCTCTCTAAGAAGCAAAGTCCTCTTAGAGGAAAGAGAGGAGAGGGATTTCAAAGAAAACCAGTACAATGTGCAGGGCCTGGACATTACTCCCCCTTTCCAAGAAGAAAGAGAGAAGAGAGATACTTGACCTTACTGCATATGCAAATGCCACTGAAACGAAATGAAACAGCTAAGCCAGAACAATAACTTGACATAGGAAATGTAAATAAATGTAATTTTTTTATTTGGTCCGTCCCATTTGTGGATTTTGAAATGTTAATGTTAGAGACAACATAATCAAGATCTCCAAGATAAATCTACCCAAAAAGACTTGCCTATCTTTACTGAAGGCATACATAACTATATAAATGATTTAAAGTGTTGATTACTGTTAATATCACATAGTATAGAGAATATTAGTTTCCTGCAACTTTACAGCATAGGCGGCACTGGTAGTCTGCCCAACAACTATTTTAAATTGCTTGAAACTTTGTCAAACTTCCACCACTCAGACAGAAGCTGAGGTAGGGAGAGACAGAGACAGTTTTATAACCACCACAAACACTTCCCTTTCAAGCATGAAACAGAATCCAGAATTCTTCAATCCCAACATTTCTCTGATGTTAGAAAGTACTTCTGACACCTACTAGCAAAGTGCATCTCATAGATCTAGAGGCTGGTCAACAAAAGAAAGCAGCAGCCTGCTACTACAGCCACCAAGTTACTCAACTCAAGTGGTACAGGTTTGTGTCACAGATCTAGAAGTTGTGATCTTGGTGATGATCTACAGGGCCATTCTCCTAATACGGTCTAGATTTTTTCCAGTTTTTTTAAAACTGAAAGCCTAGGACGTCACATCATAACTATATTAAATGAATGTTAACACTGAAAAATCATGAACTCAGGAATTAGGAAGCATGTAAATTAAGATTGCCTTAACTTCTTAAGAATGCAGCTCCTTGTATTGTAATGAATTTTTACAGCTGAATTACTTGCTCATGTGCTATTTCTTCCTCCTGCAGGACCCTTCCCTCAGTACACACAGAATGATTTACAGATGTATGGCGATGATGCCACTGTACATAGGACCCTCTCCTTCATCTGTTGCAAGAAGCTGGAAAGTGTCTACTGCAAGACGGCAGGGCCTGAAGAAAATGTTTTGTTGAAACAGCTAAACACAACCATGCTTCTCCCACAGAGTTCTTGTATCTTACTGGGCAAATTACTCAAGCCAAAACTTTCACAAGTGGTCCTTAAATGTTCCTCATTTCCTGGACAACCAATTTGAAACTTCTGGGACCTGATCTATACAGGGGTAACAAGCACTCATGGCTGTGACTGAAGTCAAGAGAAGCTGTGCTTTAAATCTGGTTTCTTTTTATGATCAGGTCACAAAACACTTAGATGCAGTAGAGGTGGATGTTGTTTACTTGGATTTTAGGAAGGCCTTTGATATGGTATCTCATCCCACTCTCATAAATAAATTAAGAGGCTGTGACTTAGATGATTAAACAGCCCAGCGG